CTTTTTTGATTTTAAATCCGTTTTTGATATTTACAACATGGATTTATATTACATGGATTACAACATGGATATTACATTACACGGATTTAACAATTGCCCATGACGAAAAGTCGGCAATAGAATTTTGGGTAAAGTGCAGAATCACCCACTGCTTGACGCGTTTTTAAGAAATGCACATACTCGGTATGCACATCGGCCCAGTTTCACTTTAAAAAAAAAATCCTAAAATTGCACAAAAATGGCACTGCGCACACCCTTGACATTATGTACACATCGACCTATTTTCACTTAAAAAGTAAAAGAAAATTGACAAAAATCCAATTGTTTTTACCCTTGTAAAAAGCGGAAAACAAATAAGTGAGCGATTGTGCACTTTACCGAGAATATTTTCAAAGGAAAGGCATCATTTATTATAGAAAGTTACGTTTGAACAACCAACGAGATGAAATTATGCTTTAGCGATAAGTCGGTAGCGAAATAGCGATGCAGGCATCCATTCAGTTATGCTTAGCAATTTTTATATAAATTATAATAATGATCTGAAATAGTTATTTACTCTTATGCTTTCATTTAGTCATGTTCAGCCTTTTTCATATAAATTATAATAATAAAAAAGTATTATATGAAATTAACCTTTCATCTAAATTAAAACATGAATCTTAAATAGTTATTTAGTATTATACTTCCTTTCTTGCCGCAATTATTAGGGTTACCGCAATTATTTTTGGCAGCATTGGCATCAACAATAGTTTGGCGATTTTTTACGGCCCTCGAAACTGAATAGTACCAAAGATTCTTAGCCCGCTTTCATATTATTATTATTATTATAAGGACACAGCCCCGATCCTCCTAGCCGGCATAAGCCGGCCATATGATCGAAAAATGGGACTAGCCAGAAAAAAACAAATATAAGGGGGGGGGGGGGAACATACAAAATCTGAGTCTCAATGCCGAATTCCAACTCTTATTGCTCTCATATTGTTGCGTGCGTACGGGTTCGTAATAGATTAAATTCGCAAGTCCGTTAAAAGGTTAATAAAATTTATTCTTATCAAAAGAAATATAACAGAACGCTTGAATTTTCCTCAGAGACATTCGTATAAGTGTTCACAATATCACGCAGTATAATCAGTTGTTATACGTCAAACTACTAAAACCGTTAATATACTACAACGCAGTGCAAAGCGTTATCTAAAAAGAAAGCTAATTCAGATACCTCAGTTCACGAGGAACTAAACAAATCGCAATAATAGTATTAAGAAACTAACTAAAACACTCTCTCTCCAGCCTTTTATATATTGCACCGGAGTTCGCGGGATCTTTCTAGTAATTTCTGCTTCCAGATTTCTGGAAAGCAAAAAGATGGAATTGCGGTTACAGCTAACTTAGTGTTCAATTACATTTATACGGTAAATATAAATTGCCGAGATAAACCTTTACTCAGTATTAAATGCGCGTGCTCCTGCATTTTCCGGCATAGTTTTCTATTAAAATTCATCTCGCGCTACATAGCTCGGGGAAATGAAACAATTTTAATTATAATTCTACTAAAATTAGCTATGCAAATATAAATTCGTAACAATATTTTCTTTAATGGACTTCTATCATTTTTCGGTCCGCTTGCGTCTTTTCTTAGCCTGCTTTCATCTTCGCTTGTCCCGTTTCATTTCTTCTTTGAATGCTGCAAAGACTGTCGCAAGCTGTCTTAGTTGCTCTCCGTCGCTCTTGTCACCGGCATTCAGCCGCATTCCTGATACCAAAAATTATTGCATGAGTATGGGTTCGTAATAGATTGAATGCACATAGAACCGATAATAGCTTGATAATATAATTTTTATAAAATGAAACACTTCAAAGTTCTGGAACTTTCCACAAAAATAATCATTTAGCTCCTCACAGTATCACAGAGTACAATCACTAGTTACATTCCAAACTACTAAGAATGTTAAACACAACGCAATACAAAGCGCATTTAAAGAGCGAAGTTCACATGAAGATATCTCAGTCTCCGAACTCAAGCTGAACTAAACAACTTCTAATGCTCTCTCAGATCTTATTACCGTTATTACCGTCAATTTAGGCGCCTTTTACTGATTTTTCTCAATTTTGGCAAAAAAATGCCTCCCGAAACCATCGCAAGCTTGGCGATATCTCACCAATTTAGTGATTTATGCGTTTATTCAATGTTAAATAGACTTAACCCTGTATTCTTGCTTTTCTGGAAAAGCTTCGCTTCCTTAGATTTTCATGTTACCTTATATATATATATAAAAAGTATAATTTCACAAAAATAATTTACATATGTACAAAATTCGTAACAGTCTTGTTGGTAGTGTGGCATTGCAGGACCGGTTATTCTGAGCTTTTAATGCAGTTTCTTATGTTCTATGAAGGCGCTCAACATGGCCATTAGACGGGGGATTGTAGGCAGTAGTATGTTGCAAACACATTTTACACAAAATTTTTAGTGTTTCACATTTAAATTGGTATCCACGATCACTAACGAGTTGGTTTGGCGTTCCAAAACGCGCAATCTAGTTGCTGTATAAGGCTCTTGCTTCAGTATCAGATGAGGTAATATCTAAATGAATTACTTTTATCCAATTCGAAAATTCGTCCATGCAAGTAAGACAATAAATATTTGTTATAAATTAATAGCTCGCGCCATTTGGTGGCTCTCCGATCGTCTTGTCTCTGTTGATATTCTATAATTTTAATTTTAGTTTGATGGAAGAATGAAAGTGTTAAGCCTAATAATGATGAAATCGTGTGCCTAATAATAATGCTTGTAAACCATTGTATTATATTGTAAATAAAACGTGTGTGTATTAATAACGAAGCGGATTATCACTTACCTCTGGAACTAATACTCTCTGATGGCAATGGAATTAGTTACTACAATATTTCCATTCTTTCGCAAGTTTCAGTTTTGTCATTTTAGAAACATAAGTGGGTTACTAGTATATAGCCTTTGAATACCTTTATTCAAATTGAATTACAATTTAGAAACAGCAAGAATACTTCCGTACAACTAAGTTTATTGTTTTTATTACTCAGCTATCAAAATGATCTGTGACTCAAAGTAACAAACACAACAGAATCAAAATAATTCCAAATGAATCCGTCCTGCCATTCAGCATAAGAAATATAAATATGAATATGAACAAAACGTTAAAGTTAATTTTACAATTAAACCCAAGCAAAAATATAAAACACGGGAAATTAAGAATAGTTATTCCTCGTGAAAAAAATGAACCACTACATTCTTCCTCTGTAATCTGCAGTAGATGTAGACGGCTAGAGGATCTTCTTCTAGTATATTATGTCCCTTTCAGTTCTCTAGCAGTCTCTATCACGAGAAACCTAAGTAGCTTCGTAAATCTTTATCTAGCAAGCAATAGCTTTAAAAGCAGATGCATCCATTTTAATAAACTCTTTTTAGTACTGAGATTCAAAAAAGAAGAAAATTCTTATTCATTATGCTGAAATTTTAAGTTGTCTGCTTAAGAATTTATTTCTTGTGTAATTAATATTTGTGGTCCTCGTCAGAGATTTGTTTCTGTTAAATTCTTGAAATTTCTTAATTAATGAGGTAAAATTACTTATTTGTCTTCTTCCAAGACAGCTGGCGCATAGTTTAGTATCCTAACTTTTTCCTAAGAAGTAAGCAGGACACGGAATATTTAAATGATAAGTCCAATTAAAGTTTAAATAAATTATACTTAGGATACAATATTTACAAATTATAAGCATGACGGTATTTTCCGTTATGGACCTGCTATGCATTTTTGCGCCTGTGAAAGAGAAGCCAAATACACGCCGAGACCCAATGATAGCGCCATCTGGGACCAACCCATTTGTGTGTATGTGTGCGTCTAATTTAACTACATGACTTATAGTTTAATTACATATAAAATATTCAGCACGCTCTGCTGGACATGTCTTTACTCTTTCAAAGTTCTGGCAGTGATGGGATCCGATAGATGGTGCTAAAAATAGAAGCGCCAGCAGTTTTCAGGATGCACCATCTTTCCACCATTGAGGTCCGATAATCTACAGCAGCTGAATCATTAGATATGGAACCGCTGAGGAGGCTTGATAATTCGTCTAACTCTGGTCACAGTGACAGGAGTAGAGACAAGTTATGACGTTTGAATCTCATAGAAATATAGATAAATATAGGTGTAAATCAGAATATCAATAATAATTTTTGTGACTATTTATCAGTTAGACTGAAGTAATAAAATAGTTTAAAAGTTTTTTATGTAGTCTCAAAGTCTTTCCCATTCTCACAGCTAGAGGGTGAAAAAAAAAAAGCTGACAGCTCTACATACGGATAACTGAAGTTCTTTTTGTAAAAAAGATTTGAAACAGAGAAGTTCTTAATTAATTAAACGTTATGTTCATATTCGGATTTACAAACACTGGAACTCCGCTTTAATTTCAATACAGGTGCACAAATGGATGGGGCACCTGAATTTCTCCAATGGTTGTACAATGTAGAGCACAATGTAGAGTACAATGTAGTGTAATTTCAGCACACTGAAACTGTAAATCTTCGGCCCAGTTTTGATGAAGACCATGTCAGGGAATGGTCTTCGGAAATACCATCTCTTTTTCCCGGCCACAAAATCACAGGAGAGAACTTCCGGCTCTTCAGAATTTTAAGTGCTCTCATGCCGCACAGACACTACATACTTACAAACATCCATGCCTTCTACGCTATAAGAACCCGGACCTATCGGTATGGCTATCAGCTTCGTTAACCACTATATCGATCAGAATAAAAGAAATAAATTGTTCCACATTTTCACTTTCACCCAGGAAGTGGCTAAGTGCTCCATACTCCTGTTCTTATAAATTCTGAAGACAAATTAAAAAATTTATGAGTGAACTTTCACTACCAAATTTAATGAGTCACTGGCCAAAATATTTTTGAAAAGCGTGAATGTTTGACGAAAAATGGGGAACTGCTACAAGAACAATTAAAAAAAATTGACTAACTTTTGTGGCAGATTTTATTATCAGCAACAGAAATTCCATCTGTACATCGTATTGGTAAAACTTCTTGAGACAAAGATAGAAGTTCTTCACACTGCTCTCTGGCTGTTTCCACAGCTTACCATGGTGTTATCAACAATAATAAAATAACAGGTATTTTCAATTGATTACAATGATTTGACTATTTTCAATTGATTGCAGGTATATCCCATTATTAATCGGTTTTAATTATCGTTCAAAAATAATACCAATTCAACGAGAGTATAAAAAAAGATGATATATTGGTTAAAACGTTATTAAGCCATGAAAAGAATATTTTAAATGTATATTTAATTAATCTTAGCAGTTTATCAAACAAAGCATTTTCAAAACATTTGATAAAATTTTCTCGAACTTTGTTCATTTTTTATTATAAACAATTATTAGTATCAAAGAAAATTGTGAAGGGTTAAAACATGAAAATAAAGGTATGGTCTTACAAATCTGAAAGATGTAATTGAAAGAAATATAAAGTGTCGAATTAATCATGTAATTCATTTTTCAAAATTTTATGCAACTACATTGAATAGAAAGGGCTGCTTTGTTTCGATCTGTATTTCTATCGAACTCTGAAATTACCTGTGTACGTTTTTTTTAATAAAGGTCGGTTCATTTGTGTACTTGATTTTTTTACTTTAATAAAAATGCTTGAAATAAGCCATATGCTCTAAGAATTTCACTTCACAAATTACAGCATACATATTACAGATTGAAACCTGTGTTTTAAAAGGTGTGTTGTTTGTTTCAATGAAGGAATATTCAAAGACATTACTGAATAAGAAAAATTTATTTATCAATCAATTATTATATTATAAATTCCTTATGCTTGAACTTTTAAAGAAATTACCTTAATATATTCTAAAATACTTATCTTTTATAATAAAGAATTGAGATAGAATTTTATTCTAATTAGAGTTGTAAAACGTTTCAATGATGATCATAGGATTATCAAGCCTTTATCAAAGTAAACATACTTTGCCATTTTTAAATCAGCATTCCAAGATTGCATCTTCTGTGAGAACCATTCTTTCTTCGTTAGTTTAGTGAATAATTGGATTATAGCAGTGTATATGAGAATGACATTCACTCGGTCGTACATAGAATTCGATGTCTTTGGCAAAAATGGCAGCATAACTACACTGAATTATACAATTCACCGAGGATAGCTGATGATTGTGATCAACTAACCGTTGTGAAGAGTTTAAGTAGTATGCAAGTAATGTCCAAAGGACGGATTGTGAGATCAACCACAGCAAAAGTACACTAAAGGAAGACTGTTCTTTCGATTTTACAGTACTCAAGTTCTCTTCATAATTTTATTTCTAACAAGCATTTTTTTTTTTTAGGAATGTAAGCTATATTAAAATATTGCTTCTCCTAAATTCCAGTTTCTTTAATTGATCATTTTTGAAACAATGAAAGAATATAGGCAATGTTAATTTCATTATTTTTGAATAAAATTCAACAAGAGTATTATTAATTGTATTCAGTAGCAATAATATTTTCCACAAATATAGTCATCTGAAATAATTTCGCAGGTTGTTTTTGCCATAGAGCATCTGTCAATATCTTATGAATAATTCCTAAGCTCTGTATTATGATGCAAATAGTTATCAAAATACGTAAATAATATCATTGCTATTTGTCAATAATTTTTATTTTCGCATCGTACAGGAATTTCATTAGGATGTAAATGAGTATTTTTAATTAAACATGAATTTCGATGTGTCATTAAATGTGGTTTTACGAAGTCAAACCACATTATTTGAAGCCAAATCTTATCCATTCAATTTCAAATCACATTATGTGAAGAAAAATCTCATCAATTAATTTGAATCTAATGCACTTAAGTTTTCAAAACATAATAATTGTTTTGATTTGTAATCAGATTTAATATAACACTTTTATTATTTTAAACGCCAATAAATGAAGTACTTTCGCATTCTCTAAATAAGTGCTTCTAAAATATATCCATTTTTCGAATACTTGTTAGTTTCCCAGAGAGAGTAAAAAAAAAAAAAAAAAATGTATGCATTGAATTCGACTTCTGTAATAAATCTGCTTTATAGTAATGTGATATAAAGCAATTACTTAAAATTAGATTTAAGCACAAATACTGTTAGGAGCAATATTGGAAAATGGCACTATATTCTAAAGTTATTTATAACATTTATATTTTACATTAAATGTTCTACTTCCATAAAGGCAAATAGAACAGATTACTTTAATGACAGAAACAGCTCTCTTTCCTTTAAACTGTTTAAAATTTTATACGTGATTCATAATATTCTCTTTAGTAACATATTGTTGGCTATTTCAGAAAGCTTAAAACTGTTTTTTCAAGCTTTAGGATAAAAGTATATGGGTGATACAATATCACATAAATAACACACATTTTGTCAAGCTCAATCTCAAACTAAGCAACAGTTTTCTTTCTTTTCCTAATCACATTTCGCTTTTCGTACATAAATAACAGCAAAAACGATTCAGTCTTAAATGTTACATCCATACTTCACACCATGTAGGCGCATAAATTAGAACACTATCGGAACTTTACACAAAACGAAAAAGTTTAGAAGAGAAAAGAGGAAGAAAAAACCTGATGATCACCACTGTTTAAGTTTGACACATGATATATCACTTTATGTTTCTTCAAGCATTAAGCAAGTCACCAATTTGTCGAAGCTGATTCAGTTCAGAAAAACAGTTCGCACTTAAAAGTACTGCAGTCCTTTGTACTCATGCTGATGTTCCAGAGCTGTGATAACAACGCGAGTTTTGCCAGCATTTTTAAGTGTTCTTTCACGTTTTCAGTCACAGTCACAGCTCTGTCTTCGAACCCCATCCAAGTGCAACATTTTGCACCTGGATGGGAACTTGACGCTAATCCTGGACGCTTCCGGTTCTCATGGTCTTCCTAGAGTGCAGTTGTAGACTTGTGCGGATACGTAATCAAAATGGACGATGCAAGTAGCGGCATTGTTGTCATAAGAAAGTTCAGCAACCTTCAGTTCAGGATTTACTGATACCTGTGGAAGAAAATTAATGTTAATAAACACACCTTCCTGTAAAACATAGTCATTCATATAAAAAGAGGTTGCTAAAATTAATTATGCATTGAATATGAAACAAACAAAAGTAATAAGTTACTAAAACACCATATTTCTTAGATTCCAAAAGCCTATTTTACCCAATACCTAAAAAACATAGGACCTCTTAGAATCGAATGCCTCCTATATTGGCAACTTTAATTGGCAAATTTCTTATACACATTGCAATAGCACCTAACAGTCTGTTTTTACTAGGAAACGCCACATCCAAACAACTATGCGTCGAATATGAAACGAACGTAATAAGTTACTGCAACACTATATTTCTTATATTCCAAAAAGCCTATTTTACCCAATACCTAAAATACATAGTACCTCTTAGAATCGAACTTTAATTCGCAGATTTCTAATACACATTGCAATAGCACCTAACAGTCTGTTTTTACTATAAAACGCCATATGCAGTCAACAAACCATTCAGGATTACTTGAGAAAGTACTATGAATGTTGGTTCTAGACATATTCCGGAAAAATGAAGAAAATTAAATAATCGAACAGGGAGAATGAATACAAAAATATGGAAACTAGAAACAGAACCAGAACTATACCAGAAATAATAGTACGGGACATTAATTTCTAAATGCAATAACACTCCTAATGGCTCTGTAAGGTTCGTTTAATTTCATAATCCATTATTTATGCTAATTCCTTTTCCTACCATTCCCTGCCAGAATGCAAATTTCCAGCGCGCGCGATATTTAAATTATGCAGAAAGAAGGAAGTATTTAAATGACGTTTGGGATGATGAAATCAGAGCGTGTTCTGCCTGCTTCAAGGCCATTTTGCTAACTTTGATAGTCTAGCGATTAGAATTCTGCGGCGTTGAGTTATTCTTGCCATTAGGCTTGCTTATGCCGACTTCGGTCAGAGCCACCTTGCGCGCTAGTTAACTGTGAAGCTATACTTAAACTTCATTAATTTTAAGTTTATCCATCATCTTGGATTTTAAGTGAAAAGTTTTGGCCTTTTTTAAGCACGACTTGGTGCCGAATCTTTATTTGAGTTAGTAAAAGGACCCTTTATCGTTCCCCTGTCATTGTGGTACTTACAAGACATAGCGATAATTCTCATACTGTCTTTTAGAGTTTTGGATCTAGTTTACATTACCAAAAAACACCAAACTCTATAGCTTAAAAGCTCATATTTTATAAGACAATGGAGGCACAACTTGAACAGAAAACCAGACTCTGACTAAATGTATACTGATGAAGTTGTAGATAATCTATGATTTAGAACAAGTACACCCAACAATTACTCAAGTATACCCAACACTTGGTGTCACTTGTTATATAACATGTGCTAGAGCTATAATATGTGGCTTACGATATCGACGATATTTTTTCCAGTTTTGTTTTTTGAGGATTATAAATTATTTTGCAGTGAATATTGTCATCTGAAATGCTAATAAATTACAGTAAAGCACATAAGAACTATCTGCCTTAAGAGAAAAGATGCTTTCTTGAAGGATTTTCTAAAGAAAACTGGCTCATATTCACAGTATATCCAAGGAAGACCACGGAAGTGCCCAAGCAGCTAGCCTTTTCACCAGGATTGTAACCCCAGTCGAACCTACAGTGTTCAGAAGATCTTGAAATATTAAGATACCAAGAATATTAGTAATTAAAAATCGAATCTTTTTGTATAAAATGTAAAATCGTGATTTATAGATTCTTCATCTCTCAACCCTTAACCGCTACAGCCATAAATTTGAAATTTGGAGCATACGATTTCCAAATTTGACTCATTAGCAGTTCCAAAATTTTCTGCAATCAGAATGCAACACAAATTACACAGGTGTCGTTTTGCTTTTGCGATGCGCAATAGTTGACCTCTCTTAAGTGTTCATACATAGTTTTGAAGCGAAAGATTTATTTTATCCAAGAGTTCATAAAAAAGAAGATTAAACTACGTACTATCTGAGATCGACTAACTCTGAGATCGACGATAGGAGTGGGTGGTTCTGTTTGAAATATCTCCTGATATGCGCGAACTTAGATTGAACCTTCAGTCAAAAAATCAGCTATGTACATTTTGCTTGATGTACAGCTGTGTACATGTGTACATTTAAGATTTCAAATGAAATTGTAACTGTAACTGAAAGATCGCGATCTGATGAATTTTAAAGACACGGCAACAATGTATGTCACAGATTATTATGTTGCTGCAATTCACCAACTGCAGGCTAAATTCGAAGACAGATTCTAGGGGAGACAGACTAGGAGGAAAACATGTAAGTAAAGATTAACCTATTCTTTGTGGATATTGCCGATGCTCTGGGACAGATCTTCAAAAGTAACACTTAGATCTCCCGAGTGACTTAAAGTAAAATATTTCGAAGTATCCAAATTTAAAGTTTTATTAAAAGTATGTGGTGAATGATAATTTCTCAAAATCAAGATACAAGAGTCCCTTTTCAGCAGCACCTGTTTATGTGAACAATTATTTTCACGAATGAAATCTGTAAAATCTAAAATAAGAACAAAAGTAATGAGCAAGCATTCAGAGCATCTAGAATCAATTTAAATAACACTTAATAGAGTCATTAGTAAATGATAAGCAAATTCAGTATTTGTATCAATTGAATATCATACTACTTCTGTGTATGTAGAATCAGATCAAAACTTGTTCTTCATACTTTTGTCAGTTTTGTGAACCGTAGCCAGAAATGAAATCACATTAAGTGCCGCGCGACTGTCAAAAATTTGGGTACGTCTGTCTTAGAAGAATCATGTTATAATGCTGATTCACAGCGAAAACAGAATAATACGCTTTTTAATTAATAAATATCATGCTGTTATTAAATTAAATCTTGCTGTGGTAAAATGCCTATTTAAATATGTTTTAGCGTTTCGTTTGATTTATTTAATTTACCTAGAACCTACGTTTTTTTCCTTTTGATAGACCGTTACAATCACTGAAACATTGAATTCAAAGAAGTAACGTGATTGTTAACTTAAGACAAACGAACTTTCTTTTACATTTTAAATTATTTTACATATATCAAAAAGGTATTTGTAAATTTGGAAAAGATACAACTAAAGATTTTTCAAATTCAGATCAGTACGGTAATTTTAAATCCATGCATTAGTAATAATAGCAATTATAACAAGAATAATAATATTAGTCTATCAATCTATGTATTAATAATAAAGAGTAATAGTCATCGTTTTGAAAACTTTTAAAACTATTAATCAATTTTTAGACCAAAGGATTTTGGATTTGCTTTGGTTAAAGGACAATTTACATTCAAATGTGCCCTGAAATGGGATTACTTCATAAAGATGCATTTTATAAATACACAAAAAATATAAACTTCTCAATTTAATAAAAAGCTGGAATTGATAGATCTTAAGAAGAAAAGCAGTTTAAATGTGAAGACAGGCCATAATCTTGACCTCTTTAAGCAGTTAGCCTAACTATGAGCGTACAGAAAAAGGTCTTGATGAAAATTCAAAATGTCATTCTAGATGGTACAATATAGATGCTATAACATACAAATGGTAAGAAACTGAAGATAGAAATGGTAAGAAACTGGAAATACAAATGGTAAGAAACTGAAAGAACTTTATTAATGTACAGACTATAGGCGAGTGGGCAAAAGTAATTTCTCTCATGTTTTGATACTGGGAAGCTAAAATATTCCCGCGGTTCGTTCTATTGCTTCACCCACATAATTGCTTCACAATGGAATCGAATGAGAGTTATTTCAAAGTATGTTTGTTATTACACATTTTACGCTTTCTTCTAAATTTCATTTTGTTTCTTACGTATAGAAGAAAGTTCAAGCTTAAATTTACTCCTTGAATGTGTAGTATCTACAAGAATACACCACAGAAAAGAATATTTTAATGGTGTATCTCAAAAACAAGTTTTAAAAAGGAAAGCTTAGAAGAAACAGAGGTCAAATTTTATTTCATTTATTAGCTGTTTATATTATCATGGAAAAGTTATTTAAATCACTCCTTTGAAAGCAGATGTACTATTTCACCATATACATAATACCTAAATACTTAATAATTACAGCAGCTTCTTTGAAAATTGGGGCAACTTGCACATTATTTTCGAATACATAATTTTAAACATAATTTCACTTTTTTTTAACCAAAGCAAAAGAAAATGAGATACCATATTGCAGATAAAGCTTTCACTTTCGAAATTTCCGTTTTCTTGGGTCTGCCTGTCATTTCTCGCAGAGTCCAAGTTTCACCTTTTATCTCGCAACTAATAAGCTTCCGATGATACCAATATCAAGAAAGCAGTCGTAGAACAATAGAACTTCTTATTACTGACCCAGATACCTCTTTAGATATGTATGTTGCCAACTTAGATTATTAAAGTTTAGAATTTCACGAGTTATTTAAAAGCAATTTGATGGAGCTATTTTATGTCTGTCATAAGTGTGGCGATTGTTTCATCCATGGGATGTCTGACCTGAGGTCGCATTTTGTACCATTTTTCTTTTCTTTTGTTTTATCTTTTTATCCTCTTTTACTTTCGTTTGATCCCATTTAAGCTTTCAAAGTAATAACTGGGGTTTAATCAAGAGGTCTGTATCATACCCAACATCCTAAATGATGATCATAAAATTTGTTTTTATTATAGATAATCCGTTTTTATGATCAAAAGATTATCGTGACGTTATATTAGCTATATGAAGGAAATCATTGTAGCAGATGGTTTGATAATAAGAATCTGGATACTTTACTTTTAAATTGCGCCATCTCTTTTCGTTTCTTTTATTTGAATTATCTTGATGGCAGTGAAAAGGAAAACTATGTAAATTAGGAAGTATTGTAGCAAATTATTTCACTGTTTAGCCCTTTTGTAGTAACCTATATAGCCTAAATATGTAAATCTATAATGAATTTAAATACAATACCTTAGTAGCAAAAGACCCTTTTTATATACGTCTAAGTATAAATATAACAAAAGGATATCAAGAAACATAACAATAAAATGTTAAAAAAAATATTTATGACTAATACTTTTTCCTCTCACTCTTCATTTTTTACACAGACTTCCTCTGCACAACGAAATTTGTATAGATAAAAATATAACATTCTCAATACTTTATTTACTTATTTATTGATTTATTTTGAAAAAAGATAATGTATGTTCCTAGAGCAGGTATGAGTTAGGTAAAGTTAGAGCAGGTAAAGTCTCAACGAATTAAAACACAAGAAATAATTACACAGAAGAACAAAATAAAAAAAAAAAAACTCTTTAAACAAGTATTTTATCTCGTTATTATTTATTATCAGAGACTAATACTTATTTTTAAAAAATGCTCTATGTATTTCGAAAGAATACGTTGTGGCTGTTTCTTTTTTAAGAGACAAAAATACTGGGCTTTTCTAAAAATACTTCATTAAATTAAACAAAATACATGTAAAAAAGAAAGCAACAGTTATAATTATTCTAAGAAGGGAAGCAACAGATTCAGCGTCTAGTGAATAATATGAAAGGGATTAAAAATAGAATGACGCTTTCAAATATTTTTGGAGCGTTTTAGAATATGAATTAAAACTCATTTATTAAAAATGAAAGATTTGGATCTCCATGGGATGATTAAAAGAAATTTTATTCATCATTTTAACAGTTTCCTTTTGAATAATTTCAGCTGAAGAAGAATGTTAAAATAATGGATAAGAGTCCAACAATGGATTAGAAAAGAAAATTTATCTATGTATTTCTTTCTGATGCAAGATCCGTATTCTTGAATGCAAAATTTTAAAATTCTTGTAGTCTGGCAAACAGCTCTTGAAAATTGGTAAACGAGCATGGGGTTGTCTTTCCAGTTTCAGCATATGCTTGAAAACCAAGTCAGATTTGATTTATTAGATATTTTGAGATGGCATTTATAAGCTATTCTTAGAGTGATTTAGAAGCTTTTAAACATAGTATATATGGTAATTTAGATTATTTAATCTGAAAATGAGAAAATTATTTTACTTTTGAATACTTTTGATTTCAAGTATTATTTTAGAAATCCTTGTTCAGCTAACACAAAAAGGGAAAATTCTGAAAATATAGCTATTTTTTCAATTACCAAATATTTTCGAATTTAGATAATTATACCATTTGGTAACCAACCTTATTATACTCATTAATTTGCAATTCATAAAGCGTATAATATAAATATTTCAAGGATATTTTAATTCTAATTTATGTTTAATTACAAGACATAAATTCCCCCCTTTTTAATTAAAAATACGTATGTTAAATTCAAAATTATTAATTTTGAAAATTTTCGCATAAAAACAAAGAATTACATGATGGTAGCAGCAAATATCGAGAATGAGTATTGTGTTGTAAAAATATAAGGTGAAGAAGTATTAATTGAACGATTTGGAACACACAAGTAGCTTAAAAAATTATTTCAAATTTGACAGTTCTAATCAAGTTTATGCGTTTAACATTACTTCCGTTTTAAATGAATGCTTAACAATAATTATGCTGTTTCACAGTAATTCTGTGTCATGAAGATGTAGGAAATATTCTAACTCACTATAAGTAGGTTTATCGAACACATTTAAAAATGTCATTTGCTTTGTATTTTGTCTGACAGTGCATAATTACTTTGCATTCTTTCAAAATAAGCACAACTTTAAAAGAATGCTGAAGAATAATTATGCATTGTCAAAGAAATGCGATATTAACTCAACATATTTGAATGCAAAGTTTAATTTTTTTTTTTTTATTCTAGAAATCCTTTTAGGCCAAGATGATAACTTTCCATTCTATATTAAGGTCATTTAAACCATCACTGGATGTGGAAGTACTTTTTTTTAGTTGATTAGTAATTGCTGAGCTGAAACATTTATGATGAAACAAAAGAATTTAAAGACTCATGTGGTCAGCTTAGCATAAAAAAGAACAATAGAACAGAAAAATGCCGTAGAATAAAACAAAAGATGTCGACTTTGGCAATGAAAGCTGTAACGATTAATCACTGATTTCAGCTTTCCCTTTTAGTTCATGAAATACAAAATAGGGGAAACTATCTGGCAACATTTTCTTTCATTTTTAATGAAACGGCCTCGATGCTGGCCTTGACACACTCTGAAATATGTGGTATATTTGATTTCGCATCCGAGATGAATTTAGCCATAATATTTAAAAAGTTTTTAATCTTATTTCATATTCAAATATTGCATTATGCACAATATGCGAAATAAATGGAAATGCAGTGAATACGTCAAAATATTTGAATTAATAATGAATTGTGCGATTCAGTGCGAAAAAATAAGGGGTGTAATTTATTTATTTTTTCAACATTATTTCAGTGTAGTTCCGGACATTCTCATTTAAAAAAATGACATCTAGGTCACGCGATGAAACGTATTTTGTCACGAAGGTAATGATGTTTCCTCTTCAAAGCAATGCCACTGTAACCGTGAGAAATAATTCGTAAGAGAGGAAGGGAATAAAAAAAGGAGAAAGAGGGTCGAAACGCAACGTAAATGTATTTATTTACTCAAGCATCGTAAGCTATTCAGAAAGTATTTGTCAAACATTAAATGCTACAAAGTCGGGGTATTAAGTAAAGACTGCGAATGGAAATGGGCAATAATATAATTAAGGAAAACACTATTTTCTTACTTAATCGAATTTTTCGAATAAAAAATTGGCAATCTTCTGATATAATGAAAACGAAATAATAACACAGCTGCCTGTTATTATACAATATTTTTTAATAATGGCTGGAGGCTTTATTTAATAGCCATTAGCCTTGTGCGACTACAAAGGCCGGAAGTGGCGACCATTTTATTATGGAAGCACCTAATAGATGGCCACCGTTGCCTCCTATGAAGCGACGAACAGTTACAACCATGCCTTCTCCGGGATTCGAACCCGGGCCCATCGGCAGTCAGTGTCATTAAGCACTAAACCAGCTGAGCGGCATTTGTATTACTTTTTACTTATTACGTGCTTCACCCTTAGGCACTAGGCGGAAAGTTAGGGATGTCCTGTGGAGGTCTTCTTAAGAGAAACTGGCTCGTATCCACGTTACACATAGAGAAATCCACGAAAACGCCCATGCTGCCAGCCCATTCGCCGGGACTCGAACCCAGAACCAAACTACCAGTATACAGCGGCTTTTACCGCCCGGCCGCTGGTGGGCATTTTGCATAACTTAGGTCTACGAATGACAAAGAAGATACAATTGCTAAGCTAAATAAATAATAATGCAACTAAAAAGCAAAAGCCTTAACTATACAGTCATGATAAAATCGCCAAAATAAAAACATCAATTATTTTCATACGGCTAATATTAAATGGCGTGAAAAACCAATGCTGCTTTTGATAAGTATGTTAATTATTTTTACAGATTTAAAGTTTAGAATCATTTATTAAATTTTATTGATTTGCTTGCTTTACTCTAATGTTTAATCTTCCAAATTTTAACAAAATGTTGCGAGGAATTTCTTGATTTAGAAAATGTATTTCACGCCTGGCTTATCGAGCCGGTAGAATTAATCTTTAAAAATTCCCATCTCTTATTTAATATTCAATCTTTAAATATTCACATCTATTAGTTAATAATTAAGCTTTAAAAATTTGCATCTGGATATTATTCCCAGCTTGACTGAGTTCAACAGAGTGAATAATAAATTATACGCTCCATGCACAAAGAAAGAAAGCGCTTCTACCCTTACTTCAAATAATATGGAGAAATAAAATCTTACTGACCTTGAAATAGTATGTTCCAGGTCGAATATCTGTAATATCCACCCACTGACAATCAATGTTGTGATGGTACGTATCGACGCAACCTACAGATATACCTTGGTCTCCATAATTGGCACAAGCATATTTTTTAGGAATATTGGTGTGGCATTCATTGTCCTCTAAACAGAAACTAGCCTTGTGTCCTTCGGCTACCTTGTTTCCGCGAGAATCGATGAGATCGAAGTGTGCAAATACTTCCATACTGTGGTAATGCCTGAAATGGGATAATGAAAGTTAAAAAAATGAAACCCATTCCTTCAGATTTCAATTTAACAGCGATATACATTTAAACATTTGAGTCCATTAATAATTACAAATCAAATATATTTCATATACTGAAATTAGTTAGTCGTATACTTTTGATAAGTAAATTAAAACAAATCGTTTACTTGTGACGAAAATCATTTACAATATTTGCAAATCTCAGGAGGAAACCAAAAATAATTTTATATTATTATGTTTGGAACTTTAACCAATAAAAGACTCAAGTGTAGAGGGTAGATAGATCATCACACTGTAGTTGTTCTAAATGTTGTAGCTTAGAATGAAACTGATCTAGGAGACAGCTGAATGATTGTTTCTGATCATTTTTTGAAATGTATGTTGGCGAAAAATTACATTCTACTCTTCTTCGTTTTTAGTAACCATCGTTTCAATTTTTTGTATACTTCCAGTGTTGTTACATATTTTTATTACTTCAGGTTATATTTTTTAATAAATAACACCTGAAGTTACATCTTTCTGTATTATTTTCTTTTATAATCATTTTGTAACGATTAACCGATGGTAAATTGCCTTGTACTTACGGTGATTATTACTCTATTTAGATAATTATGTCAAAAATCTGTTAATGTTTAATAGACTATATGTTACAAAAGCTACATTAGTGACATAACGGAAAGTGTAAAAGAATACAGTCTGAATCTCTAAGTTCTTTGAGATTTTAGTTTTAGAATAGACAGATGCATTTAAAAAGAGTAAGTATGGCATTCATAGGGAAAGTATTAAACATTCATCTGTCTCCCATGAACTTTTCGCCTTATATCTACTAACTCTACTGAAAGAATTTGATCATTCTTTCCGCTATTAATTTATTACAACAGCTTACATTTGATTGTTAAAAAGAACTAACTGTGACTAACAAGGATTGAAAAGGCCATCCTATTTTAGGAGAGCTATCATTACAGGTAAAATGTTTATTGCGAGCAGTTACACCGATCTAGCATGTCTGGACGGAGTAGAAACCCTTTCTCACATACTGATGTATATTGTAACAAATTTTTTAACTGAACTGCTATTACTTTATTTGGAATAATAATTTGGAATTTTTATTGTAGGCGATATGATGCCGATTTAAACTAGAAGCATTGAGTGACAGCGCGTTTGGAATAAACATGACGAGGATACATTTTCTAATCTTCTTTCCTTTATTATTTTTTAATAAAAAGTAAATTGCAATTGATATGCTTTTTCCTTGTTTCAACACAACGCATAAATTCTATGCACCAGTTGCTTTTAAAATAACCCGAATTTTAATTTGAAACCTACCATTCAAAACTATTAGTCCACTTTCGAAACAGAAAGAACATTCAAAAGAATAAGGTGAAACGTGCTTATTTACCCACCCAATAAATGATTTAACAATACGATTGTAGGCTGAGAATTCGAGGTGGGAAGTAGATAAACTGTCCACGCTTTTCCCGTTTATCGCCTTTTTTAACCGTTTTTTTCCCCTCAAAAGGTTTTGCTTAATCCGGCGCCATGCGAAGGTGTGGGCAGCGATGGCGCCTGAGTTGTACACATAGTTCAGGGTTAACCACAGACGACTTCCTATCTTTATTTCATGGTTCTATCCCTTTGTGGAAAAATCCGTTTACTGAACATCAAATAGAAGCAGTCAACTATTCTAAAATATGTCCGTGCAACTAACTGCTAAAGATGACAAATGATTGAGGCGTGGGTGGGGTGCAGTTACTGGAGGTAGCCATTTTACCTCTGAAAAATGGGCTTCTGCACAAAGAGAAGGAATGGAAGTTCAGAGCCATGTCTCTTTTGTTCATTTGTTTTGTTTCTTAACTCCTATTTCTGAGTTTATAAATAAGAAGGTCGTTGCATTGTGCAAAAGCTTGGGAAATCTGTAACGATAAAGTAAAAGAAATAAAAGGTGCATGTGCAAGGCACAGAGGTTTCTGTAAAAAGAGTATTAAATAGATAGATAGCTTTCAAACAATAAAAACTTACATGATTTTCGGAGTGCAAAATTTTCCATCTGTCAAATTTGTATAAATGTCTTGCACAGCAATTTACGTGCATATTATCTATGACTAGAATTTAAGATATGATATATTGCTTTACAAAGAATATATGTTGGTCTTTTATCATTCAAACCTGAAAATAAGTTTGAAAATGCTGAGGTGTAATTAGAATTGATTACTCGAAGCAGCTCTTGGAAAACGCGACTATTTCGCATTGTTAGATTTTCTTCTGAAACTACAGAAAGAAAACACTGATTGAAAACAGGGTTATTAGAAGTTCGAGACTGATTATTCCGTCCTACATGCGTCATTATGTCTGTGGGTTATGACGTGGATTTAAAATAATTGGGGACTTTTAATGGAGTGATTATCTAAGTTGAAGAAGAAATTGTTAGTTCATACGAGAAAGGAGGGAACATGAGAAAAATTAATAATATTTTAATAAGATGCAAATATTTTCAAATAAAATCATGGAACTTTCCATGGCCTTATTGAGCAATTTCGTTAATAAATACTTACTGGAATATAATATTTCCTAAAATATAATAACTCTTATTACACATGCCATGATGTAATTAAAGCATACTCACAAATGACAGGCATGCCACTGCCAAGCTTGCTTAGGTAAAAAGGGTCTGAAATCGGTAGTTCCAAAGTCCGATTCTGGCTGTAAAACGCAAAACTCTTCTTTGCAAGAACTGCCAACCTGCAAGAAAAGAAAATTTAAGTCCCAAGTAAAATATTTACATGCTCACGTATGTAGCCTGATATATATATACAGTGGATGGACAAAAATATGGAAACACCTTGTGAAATGCATGTTTGAAAAGAAAGATGTGAGGTTGTCATTGCATTATGTCAGAGTTAACAGACTTCGAACGTGGGCAAATTGTTGGAGCACGTATGGTAGGTGCTTCCGTAAGCAAGGTAGCCGAGGTGTTTAGTGTTTCAAGAGGTACTGTATCGAAGATTTATTCCGCATATTTGAAAAGCGGAAAAACATCATCTGCTAAATCACAGCGCGGACGAAAGTGTGTCCTGAGTGATCGTGACAGACGATCATTAAGGGCAATTGTGACGAAAAATAAGAAGACCACAGCTGCAAAAGTTACTGCTGAAATGAATGTTGTGTTACCGAACCCTGTGAGTACCAAAACAATTAGAAGGACTGCCAAGACTTATGTGAACATTTTGGCCGATGAAGTTCATCCCATGGAACAAACTGTGCTCCCCGATGGTGATGGTGTCTTCCAAGATGACAAAGCCCCTGTTCACACAGCTCACATTGTCCAGGACTGGTTTTCTGAGCACGAGGATGAGTTGTCCCATCTCCCCTGGCCACCACAGTCACCAGACCTGAATATTATCGAACCTTTGTGGTCTACATTGGAACGGAAAGTGCGTTCTCGTTTATCCACCGCCAACATCGTTATCTGAACTTGCCACCGTTTTGCAGGAAGAATGGTATAATATTCCCTTGGCAAACATACAGGAACTGTATTTATTCATTCCGAGAAGACTACAAGCTGTTTTGGATGCCAACGGGTTTCCTACACCATATTAAGCAAAGAAACATGTTTTTTTTTAAAGGTGTTTCCATATTTTTGTCCAACCCCTGTATATATATATATATATATATATATATATATAGGTGCATATTATACTAAATCTGCATTTATACAAGAGTTTCGAAAAAAAAATATGCTTTCTTTTATTATTTTATATATTGAGATTAGACATCCAATTATAAAGTTTTCAAATTGAGATCGAAATTTTATGAAAGTAATCTCAATGTTACAAATGGCGAGAGCGCTAAAGAAAATTATTGTTTACATAGTTCTCTTAGGCTGAAAATTACAACTGGTAAATGTTCATTACGCTTTCATTAGTTATAATAAAACTTTCCGTATATTTACGTGCAAAATTTATTGAGATACCTTAATATATATTTACAAGCAGTGAGCTACAAATTTATTATTGAACGCTAATTTCAATCAGTAGAGAGCTGTAAATCGCAGGAATAAGCAACTTTGCGTTTTACTATACGTACATGAAATCATGGTGAGCCTACAGACCCTTCAGAGCACTGAGCTTAAATTAATTGCTACATGACTCAGACATGATGGTTGAATATATGCGATAAAAGATATAGAGATATTGGTACCTGTTGATGGTATAATAAGAATAATTCTTAACAGAACGTTACTAAGACCTTGAATGTGAAAGTCTTTTCTTTATGCATTTATAAATACAGCAATAAAAATGAAAGTCTGTACTAAATAATAAAAACGAAAACAGAATACGAAATAAGCTTTGCTTCCATTTACTTATCTGAATAGTCAATACAAATGTGACAGTCTGACATCGCGTGTTGTGATGGCACCTTCGGGACAATTTTTGGTATTCTGCAGCAGCCACGCTGGGGAAACACCCAGACTCCCGGCTGATTCCTTTATTGATCGCAACATATGGGGAATCCCAAAGTTTTAAAAATACAGAATAATCCCGCATGCTTGAATATAAAGGAAGGGTGCGCGTAGCAATAATGAAAATCGATCGTCGATTTGTGTCTTATAAAATATATATTGATTGAAAGTTTTTTTTACTTGAATTTTTTATTTATTGGTAAACTTTATTGGTTATCATAAAATCGCATCGCACATACATAAGGTTAGAAGTAAAAAACACAGCATCTCGGGGACCATATTGTAAATCATAAACGAAATCTGACCAGGATATGAGATAAATATTCATTTTTTAATGATTACACGCCCAGATACCATGGGACAACTGCATACCGATACAGCTAAGACCACGGATGGCATAATTAATCAGTCTGTACAGCTTGTCAAAAATATCTTTGTTCTAGTAGGCACTGTTTGACGCATAGGCAGTCACTTGCTGCAAAAAAAAAAAAAAAAAAAAAAAAAAAAAAAAAAAAAAAAAAATTAAATATTCTCCATTTTATATGATTGCTCCTGGTGAGATCATCAAAGTCATAAACTTCATAAAATCACGGCTTTAATTAATTGTTTATTCAAAATACTATGTGAGGTCATCAGAAGTTTTCACAAGTCTCTTATTTTATGTACTCGAGGAAAGATGTTAACCCGTATTTTTGAGCTAAGAGACGAGATGACTGCTTTTTTTAGAACACAATTTCAAATTGAGAGGCCGATTATGTGATAGAAATTGGCTGTTTAAAACTGCCTAACTTACATTTTTACAAAAACTAATGATCAAAATTCAAAGTGTTAATTTGTAGGCAAACAAGTAAATGTATTTACTGTTCAAGGAAATGAAAAAGATAGAATTTTGGACAATTTGTGAGCGCTTCAACGACTTTGATTGCTTCCCAACAGTAAAAAGCTTTTCAGAAGAGGAAAGGATTGAAATAGAAGAGACATTTATTGAAGAAATTATTAAACTGAAAAGTTTGAGTGAAGTTTTTAACCAGTATTTTCTAAAAGAACAGCAGATCGAGTGTCAAAATGAATTGTGAATTAAAAGCTCATTTATTGGCAAAGCACAATCTTTCGCCATGTCAAAAGAAGAACACAAAACTTTTATTAAAGTGACATCTGATTCATCTTTTGCGAGACAAAATTTTAATTAATGCCGTTAAAGGAATTCTGGCGCAGCTTTTAAAAGATGAAAATCCTCAATTTTACCATTTGCAGCTATATAAAAAGGACTTCTCTGCTGTGTGATTCAACAAAGAATAAATACCGCCACGGACGTAATGCTGAACATAGCATGCGAATTCATTTTTCGTCTATAAAGTCTAATATTAAGTATACATGCGATAATAAAAAGCAGCCCCACTCATCTCATTAAAAGTAAGTTAAAAGTATTGTTCGAGTACGCTATTTTATTTTAAAATGAGCTATTTTAAGTTAAATTTGAAATTACTTTCTGAAGCAAATAAATATTATTTGGACAAACTGTAATTTTTGTTGAAAATATCCATTTATAAAATGCTGCATTAAAATCATATTATTGAAGAAAACCAGGGTTTCCATGATAAAATGGACATTAAAAACAGTGTCACATATCAAAAAGATTAATAATATCTAAATAACTGTCCTTCTGCTACATTCGTTTTCTCTGCCAAGTATGAATTAAAGAGAAGTAGTGAGCTTCACACATCACGAGCGGCCAGAAATTGTGACCAGAATAAAATCTTTCATTCATTGAAAGGTCTGTATTATGCAGTATCGCTTTATTTGACAGTTTCTAACTTTTTTTAGCATTCTAACAACGTAAAGTTTCGCAATTGGAACAATTAAATTTCTGTAGGGCTTGGAATATTTTCTCAGCCTTTAACTGTACTCTAACTTTACGAAGCTTGATATTCAGCAATTTATGTAAATCTTAAAATGCATGTGATGCATTACACTGAAGAAGTACTACATAATTTATTCAAAATATAAGATATTATGTTTTCTTGCAGCGTACGCTGCAAGAAAACACGTGTCATTGCATGCATGAAAGGTACATTGTTTTCGTACTTTTTCAATAGCTGATTACAGTAGGTGAATAGGCAAATTTATTTCAAGGTTCACTGTTTTACATTTAGTAAAGAAATAATGAATATATATATATATGTGTGAGTGTGTGTAATTTTGTAGATCAATTACAATGCTTAAAACATACTTTTACAGTATATCGCATGCTCATCACATTGAAATTCAATTAGAAAAGAACTTGAGGTTCTAGGTTCTGAGTTAACACTATGCAAGCACAATTATTTATTGCGTTTTGAAGATGTTGCCCTTTGATACAACATCTACAAAATTCAATACTTTTTTTAATCAGATGCAAAAGCACTTATTTAGACATACAAGAAAAAAAGCTGTATGTTTTGTTTTCCAAATTGTGTTTCATTAGCATAAGTTTTTAAATGTGCGGAGAAAGCTAAAAATAAATAAAATAAATAAAACTAAAACATCCTTTCCATTTATTATATTGCGCTATTCTTTATTGCGGTGGTCATGTACTGAATCCACAATATCTTAAGTACGCCTGCATTAAAATTAGTTTGGCAACAATTTATGAACTGAATTATCCTCATCGGAGAGCAGAGGCATATTAATATAAAGAATCAATTGCAGTAATAATTTTTCTGCTATCTGGCGAAGAGTTTTCAGGTATTTTTCTAGTGCTGCTTGTTTTTCAAAATGACAATTTTTTCAACTGGAATGTTGTAGACGACGCAATTTATACGAATCTGTAGGTAGGGCTATTATTTATTTCCTTGTGTAAATGATAAAATTAGTAACTTTCAGTACATGAATAATTAAATAAAAGAAGGAAAAATATTTTCACTTCGGAGATAGGTTATTCAAAATAATTTAAGTTTCAATATATAGGTTATTCAAAATAATTTATGTTTCAATATATAGGTTATTCAAAATAATTCAAGTTTCAATATAAAGGTTATTCAAAATAATTTAAGTTTCAATATTTTCGTCGTCACGACGGACTTAAAACAAGCTTCTCTTCTGAAACTCCATTTTATGCCATAAGTTACATTATCATTATTTACTAGTTTCAGTTTTAATGGCTCAAAGGTTTTGAAGGAATTAAATTTTGAAGAATGAATCATAAATTTTCCTCTTTCGAGTTTTGAAAATCTTATAAATGTTAAGTCTAGATCAAAACTTGCATTATAAGACATAGTAGGCGAAGGTAAGATATTTACGGAAAACAAAAATCTAGCACACAGATGATTTTACAACATTGTGTTGTTCCCTATTTATGACTTAAAAAACCAAATCCAGAGTATTCCAGGCAAACATAGAAAAAATATATGTGCCTAATATAAATATAATCCAATCTGTTGAAAAGCATATTAAACAGCAGCTTATGTCTTAGCAAAAACGTAATCTAATCTTCCAGCAAACATAACAAAAAAAAAAGATTGGTGAAAATCTAATTCATTCCGCCAGCAAGCATACTAAATAGAACTTGTAACTTAGTAAGCATAAGCATAATACAAACAGAACTCGTTGCTTAGCAGAAGGTCTGATCAGACACCTTTAAAAATGCTATAAACGTAGTCATTAATCTCCTATTTAAAGAAAGCAATTTTCGTTCCATTCAGAATTTAGAACATGTTTTTAATGTCCAGTAAGTAATGCTTTCTTGTTGTGACAGCTTCATATTCCATTACGTCTACATAGAAAAATAAATATAAAGTACCTGGACGCGTTCTGTCGTAAGCACTGGAGGACAAGCAATTTTCTTCCAAGGCACATTGCAGATTAGACATAGCTATGTTGTCGATATATGAGGTTCTTTCGATTTCTTTTTCATCAACTACTAAGTCTGGTAAACCTGAAATTAAAAGATAAACGATTGGTTAATTCATCTAAGATATATTTAGTCGTTCAGTTGTAACACAATAGAATAATTTATTTCAATTTTCTGTACTTAATTGAAAAAAAAGTGAAAACATATTAAGTTTGAAACATTTTTATAGTATCGTTCTGAATATCAAAATATTTCTTCAACACGATAACTTATAAAGACTAAAATTTTATTAAAAAATACAAACTCCAAGTTCTCTTTAAGAAAGTACCCAATAATTTAATTTAACTATTTTAATCTATTTAAATGCTTTCCATGAATTACATCAAAAAACTTAAAAGGAATTAAAAGTGTCACAAAATATTTGTTTGTGATAAGTATTAAATAATTCTTTGGGAAGTAAAAATAAAAGTCTTAAATTTTGCAATCTAACATATCAAAAGGAATTTTACGTTAAATAAATAAATAAAATATCATTATCAACTGATAAATCTAGTTCCTCTTTATTTTAAATAAAGTTAAGACTCGGGAAAGGAATTTAAGCTTTGAAAATTCCGGAATATTTTTCATATTTCATTTCTGAATATGTATAAAAAGGGAAATATAAAAACTATATGTCGGTTGTGATATGGGATACAATACTGAGATTAAAAATTTTATTAAAAGACATATTATATGGTAATTAAATTTAATAGATATATTACATGGTGCTCAGCATTTAAATCAATACTATGAAATGAAAGTTGCTGGAAAATATTATTAGAAAATGTAGATAAAATTTCTTTTTAAAATAATTCACTCCGATACGTTAATGAGTGACTCATTTTAATATCAAGAAATTAGTTAGATTCTTAATCTCTTGTCGATTGGCAACGGCTTATATTCTTCATTTGTATGGACAAGAAAAGTTAAATGGAAACAACAGAATCATTCTGAGGTGCTGATAATAATGTACTACTATTCAGGTGAAAAAAAATACTTTGAAAATTAATTCCATTCACGCATCAATTTTAATTAACAAATTATTAAGGTGCAGCTTAAAAAATAAACAATTGAAATAATTTGTGTAAACACTCTCAATTATAATATTGGCATGCATATCACAATACAATAACCTGAAATCTTATATCAAACTAAAACTATTGACCACACTTCGAATGGAAGCCGTCAAATGTTATTCAGATAATGGCTGTTTATGCATATATCCTTCTTTACACGTGTGATAACAATTTAAGAATTCGTTAAACGAGTTAATGATTGATTTAGCTTGACGGAGATTAAGTGTGTTTTGATGCCAAGAGTTCACTGGTGCAGAAGTTCTAAATTGCAATTTTAACTCGGTTTGGAAAAATAGGAAGCTTGCTGTGAATAATATTAATTAAATACAATGCAATATTTTCTAAAAGAATTTAAAAAATGAATGGAAGAATAATGTTGCCGATTCCCGGAAAAGTTAGAAACAAATATTAATATATTTTCACGTTGACTTGATTATCATAGATTATGGAATTCACCTGCACAGGATTTTACATTTCCTACCTATATACAGGAAACCTAAAACGATGAGCTATCGATTCTTCATCCTGATCGATGCGAAATACTTAATTCATATTAGAGCTTTTTTAAAGTAGTTGTTAATTATACTACCGTTGCTGTTAATTCTACCAATATATGTTCTTAATTATATATAAATTTCTTCAACCTAATCGGTAGAAAAAATTTCTATTTCTGTACGCGTGGTACTTTATTCATGTGAGAACTTTTTTATAGTAGTTGTTAGCTATACTACTGTTGCTGTTAATTATGTTACTATTGGTTGAATGTTCTTCAACCTAATCAGTGTAAGAAATTTCTTTTTCCGCATGCGAATTACTTAATTCGGATTAGAGATTTTGTATTATTGTTGTTAATTATACCACTGGCATAGTTGCTTTAAAATGGCCTCTGCAAAAAACATTTCTTGCAGTATTACCTTAAACTAAATTAAATTCCGTTTGTTTACGTAATTTTTTATTAATTATAAGAATAATATTTTTTACAACTTATATAGCCATGCCATAGTATTTTCCGAAAGTATTTTAGTTAGTCTAATGAGTGATTTTGATTGTTTGCTGATATATATGAGTACTGTATTGCTGTCATTTATAAAAATGGGAATGGTAACACCGTGAAAGTTATGACATAAATATTATGTTGCAGAAATCAAAATTATTTTTCTGAATTTTAATATCAAAGTTTTTGATAATAAGATTCAGTTATGTCTGAATTTAATCGCTTTAGAGTTAATGTCTGTATGTTCACGCACGTTCATCTTACTGGAATATAGCTCATACAAGAAACTAGCACACAAGAGAAAGAAAGTTTTGCATAAAAATTAAACTTAAATGTGTCCTTTAATAACATAGGCATTTTTTAATGTTAATCATTTATTTATCGTTACCGATTTATACATAATCGCATTATCTCAGTATTTACCTGTTGTATTTAAATTATATATATCATAAATATAATTTGAACATGAATTAAAAGAATAAAAAATACATTCAGTAACGTGAAATGGGGGATTGAGTATATAATATCAGTTTAGAATGTTTTCACTGAGCACTCTGCATTATATTTATTCTATTTCAAGCTTACTGGTAATACGTATATAAATACGTTAACTTATTTATCTAAAAATCTGGTTTTTTTTCGTAATATCTTGGTTTCTTTACGTGCTTAGATCTTAGTTAATGTAATTATATCTGGTTTTAATTTTTACCTCTTCATTATCTAAGATTTCATTTGAAATTTAATTAATTTATAGCCTTGATTTCTTACAGAGCCAAGGCTCTCTTAACTGGTATTCGAATCGAACAAATGTTCTTCGTTCAGCTATTGTCAGCTCTTGATACCAAATTTTCTGTCTTATCCATTCCTTAATTTAAATGTCATACTTCTTAGTTATCAGGCTCACCAGGCGGCCAAGCGGTAAAGTCGCTGAACACTGGTAGTTCGGTCCGAGGTTCGAATCCCGCGAACGGGCTGGCTGCATGGGCGTTTTCGTGGTTTTCCCCATGTGTAACGTGTATACGAGCCAGTTTCCCTTAGAAAGTCCTCCACGAAGGCATCCCTCCTCTTAGGCATATAGCCCTCGAGGCTTTGCCATAATCACACACACACACACACTCTTAGTTATCAGTGAATTTAGCTTCGAAAATAAGTACTGAATTTAAGACCTTACTATTCGAAAAGTTTAGAATGCTTGAGCTACCATACCATTCTAAAATAAGAATAAATACTTATTGAATATATGAGCCAACATAATGATACTAGCTATAATGATTAAAGTGATTATGATCTTTCGGCGATAATTCAGTTGCTCATTCGGTGACCATATTTAAAGTAAACCTAATCATGTATATTTAAAATCTTTTAGCAACGATTAAGTTATATTGTATTGTACATTTTTGAATTCTTTTCAAATTAAAATTTTAAGTGTAGATGAAGATTGGTTTTCACACCTTTTTTCGAAAATTCTTTACGAAATGAAAAATGTAGGCCAAAACATTTTTAATGCGTGAACATGTAAATGCTTATTCTACACGTCAAGATATTTTAAACATACTAAGTATACTTACAATAAAATAACTTCATGATGGATATCATGACAAGATTGCTTAGAAATATAAGAAATGTAATTAACGTTTTCGAGAAGGAAATGACTTTAAAACAAAAATTTCAGTTGATTGTCAAATGATTTCGTTTGTATATAATTAAATTAGATCTAATAAGGTATTCATACATCAGGGATTTGTACTAACAAAATTAATGAATGGGGAAGTAATCATATAAGAGGAGATTCCTACAATACAATTTCGTTTTAACACAGTGAATAAAAAGACTGTCAGAATAAAATTTCAATTTGAAATTTTGATAAATAAAAAAAATTAAAAAAAAAAAAAAACCTAAGTAAAAACTGATAAAAATTTCCCTTTAAAATTTTACCCCTTCTCCCAACACACACACAAAAAACATACAGGTTGGTATTAACTCAGCCTGTGGAACTGCAGTTTAGTTTTAAAAAAAAGGCCCCTTTTTTACCAAAAAGTAAACTACGCAACTGTTTAGTTTCATGCTACTAATTTTTAAAGACTTACAAACAGATCATCAACAAATAAAAACAACAATTGTTTTTAAAATACGCAATGTAGATATGAAGTTAGTGCAAAAGAAAACTTGAAATGATTACAGTTAGTTTAATAGAATGGAAATGCTTTTGTTAATAACATGTATTCAATGTAATACGTATTAATGATGATACTTATCAGTCACAGAAAAAAGATAATGTGCATTACTTAGCATCAATATAAAATAAATTTGATTAATTATCCATATTTTAATAAACATATTTGTACTAGTTATGGAACTTGACCCTGTTGCTTAATTTCGCATAACAGAAATTAGGAATCTAATGACTAAATCATTCGAAGGTTACTCGTACACAACACGCTTTAGAATGATATTAGTAATAAAAAGGTTTGATCTATTAGCCAACAAAACGCTTTAGAATGATAGTAATAATAAATTAGTTTGATCTATTAAGCATGGTTATATAAACTCTGTGTGAATTATACTGCGAGAACGAACTGAACACTGAACATTAACATAAATGCTTAGCTTCCGCATACCCTTTTGCTGCGCGATAAACCTCACCGTGGTCATATATCTTAATCGTGTGGTAACTATACCCAACTGACACCTACTCATTAAAACTGGAGAAGTGTGGCTGGTAAATAATACACTAGCTCTAACGATTTTTTCTCGCATAACGCTAGAGGTATTAAGAAAGCAATTTCAGAAATAAAAATTGTCCAACCCTTGTGTCCTACTTGAAGGGATCAACAAGCAAATATCCAGAACAGCTGAATATTAGCCATATACAACACTGCTTAAGAGAAACTATTAGAAAGACATAGTGATTTTGGGCTTTAGTGTAACGGGCGCAGCTCGAAACAAAAACTAAACGTCGTTGAAAACTGGTTTCTCCCCATAAGAAGTCCTTATTAATTAGACTATCTTACTGAGCTGAAGGGCTTTTTGACATCCAGAACGCAACCACACCCTTGAGAAGTTTAAGGAGGTACACTGCACCTGCTCTGGTGTTATGTTTCCTTCGTATAAAATGCGAAGAAAACTTCAACTGAGATAGATTTCCTTTTCAGTTATAAGGCAAAATCTTTTCATGTTTAATGCTTTAATTAGTTTTTAAACAATTGCTCTTGAGAGAAAATAGCTGAAAGGTCATGTTATTTTTGGTCTGAAAGGCCTAATTTCTAAACCTTACAACAATTTTACAGCAAAATGAAAATAAGCGTCCTTTACATGATGGTTTGGTGGTTTAAGATGGAGAGATTATTAACTTGTTGCTAAACTAATGGTTGGGTTCGATAACGGGTAAAGTTTATATTTTAATACGTAGCTGGTAAGTTTAAATATTTCGTTCTTCAACGTTTTATTCACTAGATTTCAAATAAAATGATTCAAATCATTTTGAATGCTATCCATTTCTTTTGAAGATAATTCCGACTGCAAGTATAAATATCCATCTGCAATTTGGAATAGTGTACTTTAGAAGTGAGACAGATAGATAGCGGCAGTGTTTTTTATGCTTCATATTCTCCCTTGTTTTACACAATTTTCTAGAAGCGGTGAAAAAAAAAAAAAAAAAAAAAAAAACATAGAGGTTTTAACTGTCAGAATATTGATAAAAATTCGGTTAAAAACGAGTAAAAACCTGTTTTAAAATCTCTACAGGATCGAACATTTTTTTTCCTGACATTTATAATGGACGGGCTTGAATGTTTTGCAGAATACCAACGGAGCTTGAGTTTTTCCTGCGATCGGATCATGATATAATAATTTGCTTTTGGAAAAAAGAACAAACTCTTTTTCCGAAGTACAGTGAAGTTTTTTAAAGTAAAGAAAAACAAAGTCTGAAATTTGCCAACCGCAAATATTCAAGTCAATTTGAAGCTCTTATACCTGAAAGCTCATTATTATGAGTGTGTAAGCGCTCATTTGAAAGTATGTATTTATGCTCATCTGAAAGTGATGACGGAGAGTAAAAAAGGAAGACAGCCTCATGGATACAGGTAGAAGTAGGTGGGACACCAGAATTACATCATTAGTTGGACAGGTATAAGATTCCTCCGCGCTAACTAAGCAGTTTCGCCCCAGTTTTGAAGAAGAATGCCTCTGGGGGTGGTCTGAGGGTCTCCCACACCCTCTTCTCTTAACTCTAAAGAGGTTATCACATCTAGACGGGTCGTTTCTGAGAAACGAAATTCTAGTAGCATTGGTTTAAACAGGAGGATTCCTAGATGAAACAGCTCCGCTGGAAGTGAAGTCTCGCCTAGCTATGGAAACGATGCCCCGGCTAGGCGGAATATTTAGATACGTCCCCAAAAATATTCCGTCTGCAGCTCTGTCCCTCGTAGAGATCAACCAATCAGACGAAAGTTCTGCTTCTGAAGGATCACGCCATCCCAATCTGAGCGACAATCGATTACTGTTTGGCGTTCAAGTCTGTTTAGTAAGTGAAAATGGTAACCTCGTTACGTAGGTTTCGTGGAAATGGGTGGGTTCTTAAAATGTTCTTTTCGACGTCCAGTCCTGCGTAATGGAAGCATATGTAACAGAGACTCATCCCCTCAAGAGGACTTTCGGTTCACCTCATAGACCTAGACACTTAGAAACATCTATGCCTTCTCCCGGATTTGAACCCGGCGCCATCGATACGGCAGTCAGAGTCAGTAACCTAAAGGCTAGGCGGCTGGGCAAATGTATAGATGTCTATTATATAAATTTCGATCGCAATTGAATTTTGTACTTTATAGAATTTTTCTATTCTTCAGACATACTCCAGTTAACGGATATGAATGCCAAGACAAAACCACGTGCATTCTAAATGCAATATGTTCTCGTTCTTAAATTCTATAATTCTTACCAAAAAATAGCCATATTGTTTCCAAGCAATTTACCAGTAATTTACCAATGTGTTAACAGCAGCATTTGCTTTAATATGTTTAAGGGAAGCATTTGGATTGCATTTTAATGTTATCCTTTAGTGAACTTAATTAATCAACTGGATCACTGTGGATATCATTTTGTAGACCTGTTCACTCTCGAGTACATTTTAAAATTAAATGCATTTATTCTGCCATTCAGTGAACATTAAACTCACTTGGTATTGATGCGACTAAAAAATTCAAGCGGTTGGAACTGTGTAGCATTTGCAGTTCATCTCAAGCTCAATTAATATCTCTTGGAAAACCTTAAAAATCACGCATTCTTATAAGTCTGAAGAGTTATTCTGTAATTAATTAATGAGTTACTAATAGACAAACTTACTTGCTGAACATACTACGCCTGCTATATTTTCTTCTCCCGGACAAAAGACGCGACCAACCCTGTCATGTAAGCAATCAGCAATGTTGTGCTCGCTTCCTTTGCATTTGACACCACTCAGTATCATATTGTTGTGATGACCACCATAAGCTCCGCTCTGCAAACATAGAAATTATCGATTATTAAGTAATATTAGAATGTCAGTTAAGAGATGCAATACTAAATGTAGTATTTTAATTTTTTTATGAACTTAGGTTTGAATTAATACGTATGCTGCTAACAAAGAATATCACTTAAAAAGCCGAGATTAGGAAGTGGATGCGTCTCTGTTGTGAATTTTTACAAGAGGTTGAAAACATTGCCATATTGTTAAGCAGTAATAGTTATATTTTAATACTTATACTCTAAGCGATGAAATATTGACCACAGATTCAACCCAATCTGATCACTAAAATGGTTAAGATTTGACTCTGAAGACTGTGATTTCATCCCCTTAGTACTACAATGATCTTTGAAGAAGAAATTACTTGCAAGGATAAAGAATAATGACAAGAAATTACTTGTGGCTAACATTAAAAGAAAAATAATCACAAAATACTGCAGAAAATATTATTTTATTTAACAAAAGACAGATGAAGTAAAATAACGGTAATTAATATAGGCCTTCGCTTAAGTTTTCTTCTGGTCTTTCTTGTAACTAATGTTTAAAATAATTCACCAACGTTTTGACTTTGCAAATTTAACGTTACCTTCTCATTTAACAGTCTTAAAAACATTTATTTGTAAATTTAAAGTTATGTTTATTTTAATAGTATTGGAAATATCTAATCGTCGTGATTCTTAGTCTGATTAGGGTATTTATTGAAATAATATGCAAATCATTTAGATCCAACGGGGTGGTAAACATATTTCAAGATCATGAATCATATCTCAGTCACCTCCCTTTCCATGTATATAAAATGTTGAGTTTTCGCTTTGTAAGGGGTTATCGCATTTTTCCTTGTGTGTTCTCGCAGTGTCAGTGTGTCTCGCAGTGTCAGTGATGGCAAGTGGAAGAGCTGAGAGTTGAATGGCGGGGTGAGTAGTATTGACTTCTCATGTTCCAAAAAAACCTCACATTTAGATTTTTGGAATTATTAGAACTGTTAATTCAGCTACGACTTTTTAACAATTAACAAAGCGATTGAATGATTTAGTTAGAATTCTGATCCTGAATATTGCTAACGCTCCGAAAGGGCTGTAATAGAATTCAGTCATAGAGGAAGATATTAATAAGTATAAAATTGACTTAAATTGTCCATGAAGATGGAAATACTCTGATTTACACTTTTTTCTTTCTTCATTTTCATTTTCTTTTTCTTTTCTCGTTCAAAAAACACATACACATGTGTTTTTTGAACGAGCGTTCATATCATTTCTTGACACATTGTGGCCCTACTGGTTTAGGTTTAACCCTCCGAGCGTTACGGGTTTAGCCCTGAAATTTCAAAGTTCCTCAAAATGTCATGAATAAGTGTATTTTCTTAATTTTAATTAAAAAATGACTCTCTCATTTTGTACCTTGATTCCTTTTCTTCCAATATACATCCAAACCGAAATCAGATACAATAAAAGCTAGCAGAAGTTTTTATGTATAATGAATATAGAAGGCAGCCTAATATATGGAATTTTTCGGCCATAACGCGGTTAATCATGCCATTTCCTATCTAAACATTTCAAATGCTTCACTGCTTAAAAAAAGCATACGTCCTTCATCCTCTCTGCAATGGATGAAAGGATTAGTGGCCTGAATATTAAAAATGTTCAAGAAAATAACATGCATGCCGTTTCCTTTGTGAGAAGGTAATAATTACCAAGTAAATACCTTTTGCTATTAGAAAAGAAAAGGCTTAAAACCATAACAAATTTATAGAGTTATAAGTATTTTCTACCTCCTTTACGCATGCCTTCGTGGTGCGGATTAAGCAATTATTGTGTTTAAATTTACATAAGCAATAATGTTTTAAATAATAAGCAATAATGTGTTGTAATAAGCAATTAAAGTCTTTAAATTTCACTCTACGGTGTCCAATAAATAAAAAAGATAAACTAAGTCTATAATTAAAGAAATATGAATTAAATTAAAAAGTTAATAATAAGTTAATGTTCAATGCAAATCTTCCATTCTCAGTTATGAAAATTACTCATCACCATCTACATTTTACTGCATTTTCCCAATATATCCTTAAAAGTGCTATCGCAATAAATTCGCTTTAAAAATTCGTACCTACAAAATTAACAATGCTTAGTGTGAAAATATACATGAATACGGCTTAAAATTAACCACATTATTTATAAATGATTGCAATAGTTAATTATGATTTGCTTCAGGTAACCTCTTGTTACTGAATTTAAGAGTTTTTCTTTTACTTTTGACTTAAATGTGTTATTTAAAAAAGTGTAACCGAATCATTTGCTCAGTGTTTTAGCTCATTTCAACCTAATTTCGGAGTAAATGTCATGTTTCATTTAAGTTGACGTCCGTGAAGAAATACTACTGGTCAAATACATTTTACTACTAGAGAATTTATCATTGTTTAAATGGATCTAATTCGTGCACTCTGTTTTTGAAATGACTGGCCTTCAAAATAGACACGCCTATATTTCCTAATCAATTTTCTACTTTTCAAGCAAATTACCTGAATTCCAAGTGAATTTCAGTTCAAGGAATAATAACAAAATTTGTTTCACGTCATATATTTTGAAATATTTACATTTAATTGGGGCCCATTTTGGGGGGAAATTTTATGTTTAATTTGATATATTTAAAATTATTTCACACAATAACATGCCGGTTCGCTTAAAAGGTACTTAGCATGAGAAATTTTCTTTAGATCACAAATCTTTCCCTACATCAATATTTGTAAGAATTAGAATTTGTCAAAAAATATGTACTCAGCTATTTTTATCATACGTTTTTGAAAGCTAACAACTACAAGAAGGTTTGAGTTCTTCCAAAATATGACATCTGAATAGTATGAGGATTTTTATTTGTCTATATCGAACGTGAATATTGGATGGCATTTCTAAGTTTCTATGACTCAGTCACAGAAATTTTCTAGCTATTGCAATCTAATCAACGTGATGTACATGCGAACCCAACCCGCTATCGGGCCTTTATAATTTAAAATGTAAAGCAAGCTGTGAATAAAATGTAAGTGACAATACTCATAGCGTTGCTTCTAAAGTTAGATTTTTGATAGCACAGCAGATTTCAAGATAACTTTAAGAGGTCTGCTAATGACAGAATTATTTAAAAATTCTACTGTATTACATAAAGAAAGTTTTAATTGTTTACAGTAAGAAATATTTGAAATATTCTGCAATAAAAGATTGCTGACCTGTACTGCTGATTTGGCATGACCTAGTTGTAGCATATTGCAAACAACGTTAGCTTCTTGTATGCCCCAACCATCTCCGCATAGGAGTCCCCATCCTTGGGGCATGCGCACTTCCACGCGTCCTTCTGTCGTTGTTCTGCCACCTACTACTCTGACAGTCAGATCTTTCTCGGTTACAAGCTACGAACAAAAAAAAAAAAAAAAAAAAAAAAAATACATTACGATGAAACATATACATATAAAATTACCATTACTTACATGAAGCGCAGGAACTAAGACACACATGTATTTTACTTACACACATAACTTGGGTATTAGCTTAACAAACATTTTCTTGTATTTAAGAGAGAATTAAAAATTTCCCAACCGAGAACTGTAAGGTAAGATAGGTTAGTTTGAAGAATCTGTCTCTGATGTTAAAGCAGATGGCCATTAAAGATGCAGGTTAAAGATACCTTTATGATATTGTTGTTCAATGTAGTTATATATCCGAAGTAGCTGCCCTCACGCAATCTTCCAATTTAAACACCTTCCCTCTGGCACGTTTTGAAAAATCTCACATAATAATGAGGTACTTTGACTGAGGGACCGGGGTTCTCAGTTTAAAGTACTGATACTAGAGAGTGCTTTATCTTGTTATTATGCAGATGAACTCATCGCAGAATTTACTACTACATTTTTCTGTAAATGCATACCACAGTCGAAAGATCAGAACCATAAAAATCTATCAGTTGGAATCCTTCTAAAGCCGTAAAAGAATAATAGAATAATAGCACATTGGAACATTTTGATAGCAAATATGCCATCAATACCTGCAGTTCTTACTGCATACAAAATTCTGCTTGCAACGTATATATCTTAATGTCATGTGCTGGTCACAAGCCTATGCCATTAAAACATGCCCATGCCATTATGTCCAAACCAAGATATACGAGGTACAGATGATCTCAGCATGATCGAAAGGAAATATTTTTACCATCCCATATTTGAATACTGATTGCGATACTTCATTTGCATATTACACACAGGATACAAAATTTCATACGCGTAATAAAACAATATAAAGGTATCCTAAATTACATAAAACATAAGGTACATAAGATATCCTAAAGTACATGTGACAGATTACAGTGTTGTTTAAGTCGTATTGCACGCAACACACACGGTATTAATTACAACGTTCATTCGCTCATCTATAAACAAGGAATTGCACCCTTCATTATGTATGGCTCTAAAGTCTGGAGTACATCACTTTAGAAGAAGATAAATTATAGATATTTACCACGTGTTCAAAGGCGGATACTTCTGCGGGCCATATGTGGATATCGTACCGTTAGCTATGAGTCTGTTTATGCAATTTCTGGCTTTCCTTCAATTGACATTGCCATTCTTCATTCTATTGCTTATAAGAAAAATATTTCTGCTTCTGCTGTCTCTGAGTATGATTGTATTTTACCTCCATCTGATCTTCCTCATCCTTCAGAAATAAATGCTGTTAATTTTATTCAGTTTAGCAATACAATCGTAGATGATTCACCTGTAACTTGCTATACTGATGGCAGCAAAATTGATGGCAAGGTTGGTCTCGCATTTGTTGTCTTCAAAAATGGTCTTGAATTTGAGCACTTTCAATTTAGAATTAGAGATGAATGTACCGTTTTTATAGCTGAACTTTAGTGCTTAAACTTCGCCATCAAATGGGTCTCTGAACAAAATAGTGCTGTTTCAAACTATCTCATTTGTACTGATTCCGTTTCATCCTTGGAGATCTTAAAATGTATTTCTTCTTCTAATAATATCATTATCCAGAATCAAAAAGAACTGAAAAACCTAAAAGATAAAAATATTTCGGTTGGATTTTCATTTGTTCGTAGTCATACAGGTGTTGTTGGAAACGAACGAATCGATTTCCTTGCTAAGACTGCGACTAAGCGGGAAATTGACACTTTTGTCAATATCCCTAATTCCTTTTTATAAGAAGGTCACGTATGAAAGTATTGTGGAGTCGTGGAACCAAGAATTCATTAATTAAAATAAAGGGAGCTTAACTAAGAGATTTTCCCCTTCTATCAAGATGAGATTGTCATGTCATCACATCTTCACAAACTATAACTTAACCCAATTTCTTACTGGCCATGGAAATTTCAAAAGTTATTTGAACAGATTTAAGTTGAGCCTCGAGTCTGTCTGTGATTGTAGCCTCGGTGAAGAGGAGAATGTTGAACATGTGCTTCTTCTATGTCCTAAATATGAGAACGAAAGAAAAGTCTTGAAACTGGGACTGAAAAAATTTAATATTAACTGGCCTCCAGAATTTTACCAATTTATTTCCGAGAAAAGTGCTTTTAACATTTGTCAATTCATTGTACTCATCCTTAATTTTATTTCAGTTTTTTCTTCTGTTTATTTTGTATTGTGTTTCATACTTAAGCCCTATGTGATACTATGTGGTACATGGGGAACTTATTGTGTTTTTTTAATTAAAAAATGTACATAAAACTACATGTGTAATTTATTACGGGTGTGGTAGCCTAGCTGAAACCATACCTAATGCCTTATAAATGAAGACTGATTCGAATCAAAATAAAAGCAATAATCTGTCCAATATGCAGAATAGGAAAATTAGGCCATGAAGTTAATGGACTAGTTAAGTGTTTAATGAATGCTTTTATTACAATTTTTTTACTGTATAGTATTTTTGTAAAATTAAGGAATTCGGATTTAGAAAACTTAACATAGAATATCGGATTACTAAGTATTAATGTTTTGTACTTCCATTTGTTACTTATCTTCACAGTTATTTCCTTTCTTAATATCACTGTGCTGAAACAATAGCTAGATTTGTTGCTTCTCAAGTTTACACTTTGCAAAGAATCACGGAAATTGCACTGTAGAAGATCAGATGGTATTTTAAAGACTAGGCTACTGTTGTTTTAATTTCATCTGAGGTTTTAATTGCTGAGAGAACATTATAATCTATCGCTCTAAAAGTCATTCGGTTTTCTACATATCATGTAGTTAATTAATTTTTGTAACTAGTCTTCGCTGACTTTAAGAACATAACTTAAAACATTTAACAGCTTTCCGACTAGTTATCGCCTAGTCTGAAGTATAAAATTATATTCTGTTTTCAAAATGATTGTACTATTAATCACTTCTTGAACAGTCTGTTTTAGATTGATGATTTAATAGAAAAAATAAGACAGGACTTCATAATGGGACATTTTTTGTTATCTAGCGTAATTTACGTAATAAAGTTATGATTTATATCAAGTTCACCAATTACTAAGTTGCTCTTTAATTAAAAAGGGGAAGTTACAACATGTAAAATTAGCCTCAAAAATCGCCGACCTTATATGACTTTCACTTTGACGAGATGACCGCGTTTCCTCGAAGAGATGAGAAGCATTGAAATCAGTTTTAAATATCATGTAAAACTTGAATTTATTTCAGTAAAAAATTTATAGCTTTAGTATTTCTATTAAACGGTTATTTGAAACCAGTGCTTCTGAATTAATATTTTTCTAACGTTAAAGGCTTCTTTTGAAAATTTGCATCTTAAATTAGAACTAAAATTGTATTATTGCTAACAGCAGTTTATATAAAGTCCTCAGAAATTTTGATCCCATGAAGACAAAAGTCGTTTAGGAGAATCAATAATTCGGTCATAGGAAATATATCTTTCACTAACATTTGTTTTTCTACTAAACCCACACCTAAGCTTAATTTTAATACAGTTTTACCTGATTATAAGGAGCAAAAATTGCCTTAGTGCTAATACTTATCTTATTTTATTTATTTCATAAATAGGAGCCACAGATCTTTGTGAAACCATTCAACAGTTTGTTAGCCAAGAAATTCTTTTAAACGCTGTATACGTTCGTTGGGAAATATATACTTAATAAACTATTTTAGTTATTAACGTAGTCATCCCAGCACCGACTGTTACTATTTGCAAAATATCTGCGTTGATACATAACATATTTCAGTTTATATTAATTCAAATTTTGGCAAGGAACCTTAGAATGCTGCAAAATTACCATTTAAATTAAATTATGTGGTCCTTGGATTGTACCTTTGACGTATATAAACTATAGTTCTTTTGTTGAATAAAAATTTATGGACTACTAAATATTCAGAAAGAAAAATGCATTAAATTTTAACGTTTGTCACAATTTCTACCCTTTGCTTGCTTATTTGCAAATCAGGTTAAGGACAAGGTATTTTAACAATAGAAACAATGAAATATATAAAATCTAGTAATAAAATTTGTCACTTTTATATTAACAGTTAGATATCAGCCTGTCTTAGAAACGAGCTTTAGAGTTTTCAAAAAGAAAAGAGTATTTCCTGCCAACGAAATTTATTATGCGAATAAACTATTAACAAGTGAAAAATAAAGCATGGATTAGCGAAAAATACTGAGATTAGATAACGGAAATACCTTCAAAAGTTGGCTCTAGGTATGGTAATGTAGTCGAAATTCGATATGACGACCGTTCGTTATAGCAACCCTTCCATTACTATACTGATACACAGAGTCTCTAACCGATGAGAATATATTTATTCTATTTCCTAAAGCAAAAATTCATTATAACGACTATTCTGTATACAATGTGAAGGGTCATCATAATGGGCGCTGGTTTTATTAGATTGATTTTTTTTCTTACTTATTTAGATTCTTTGCATATTGGCTCTGACTATTATTCACCAATTTGTATTACATTACTTTTCTCTACATTCATCTTAAGTTGGAAAGTTAAGGCATTACTTTGTTGGAATCAGTTACTGTGATTGAGTCCAAAAGACTGAGATTTTATTCCTTAATTTGCAAAAAATGCTTAGTGATGTGCCATATTTTAATGGTGAATTTTTCTGGGCAGTCCTAAAATCAAATAATCTGAGGCGGGAACCAAAGTATGAGATGTTTGTCATTTAAATAGCTGTAATAGCTATCGGAATGCTGCATTGATACAGATGAGAAATACCATGAACAATACCTGCAGATGCATGATAAACCCTTAATTGATCTTTTATTATAAACGTTCTTTTAGTGTGCATGACGTGATATTTTTTCGTATTATTTCTTTATCATTTCATTATTCAAGGTGAAGGGCACGTTCAATTTAAGCAATACTCTGAAAATTTTTAAGATATAAAATCTGATTGATGTAAAAAATTAGCGTGAGCTGCCATGTTTTACATTAATTTTCAGAAAATAAAATGATTTAAATATAATCATTTGTGAGACAGTGCTGGCATAAACTGAATTTGATATCTATTTCTTCAAGAAATTTGAAGTTAAAATAAACACATAGATTTTAAGATCTAACACAATATAAATCTTCATAAGAAACAGCATTCTTATTTCGAATCTCTCTATAGTTATAGCATACAAGAGAGAAACGAGTAAAATTCTTGTTACAAGCCATACATATATTAGCCTTAGTGAAATTTTCAGCGTTCTGATCTGATTGAAATAAGAGAAGAGAATTTATGTAACAGATTATGTATTACGAGGCATTTGTTAATATTAAAATAAGTACATATGAAAGAAGATAAGAAAAGACATACTGACGAACATTCCGCCAGTTGCCATTAATCCTTGGACTGCAAGAATCAAAATATCAATCTACCAGCAACTCCATTTATACGTGATTTCAGAATTCATTTGCGGTAACCAAAAATGAAGTAGCATTGCAAAGCTAACAATCGCGGACCCATATTAGATTCCGTCGATGGGGCACAAATCTGAGCATAAAACAAGCATGAGAAAAATCTCCATTCATAAGACATTTAGTGTTGATATGAATTGAAATTGATGCATGTTTTTACTAAATACTGGGACTCTTTTATTGTATACGTTAACAATGAACGAAGATTAGTTGATTACATGCTGGAAAGAGCAAGATATTTTCTACTGAAATGGCATTAAAAATTCGTTGGACAATCCACCGTTGCTTGTTGATGATATCTTCAGTCCTTGTAAAATTGTTGTTCAAATTAAATCATTTAGCACCCACTTCATCATACACATTGTCGGCTTTGAATTATGCTGAGCAATCTTTATTATGATGTCTGCAAAAATAGCTGCTGCTGTCATAGTGAATGATAATTAAAAGAGGTATACTAAATAAAGTGATGACTTTCAGCTAGTATTCGTGATACCGCACCTCACCATGTTGGTGTTGTTACTGTCAAGAATAACAGCAATAAGATCTTTAACCTTTTATAGTAAACAATGGCCAAAAGCTGCTTGCTAGTATACCTCGATCGATGACAGTTCTTTACTATTGTTTCAACATTGTGTGCATAAGAAGGTTTGCTTGCTGGGATCTTCATGACTTGTTATACACCTGACGGCCTTTCTCTTAAACAAATCTTTTCATAACACTCCGATTTTTTTAAATTTCCACATAAGACATTATTCTTCATTTTGTTGATGCCATATGTATATTATTATGTTTTTAATTTTATTATTTATAGTAAGAAATTTTAGGAAGAAAAGTCTGCTGCGTCTTTTATTATAGCAAACAAATTGGTATCTGAGAACTGCTCGCACTGTGATTGTTTCTTACTATATGGTTGACTTGCTTTTTGATTACATTTTACGCAAATTCTTGTACAATAAATTTGCAATTATGCAACTCTAATAACATGCACATTATACTGCTGTTTTAACCGTTCGTTCTTCATGATGTTTTAAGTTTGATTCATATGAGTAAGTATCCTAAATGATTAATTCTTTGTTATGTATATTACGGTTGGTATTAAATTAGTCTTATTTTTGTTTCCCGATGGCGAGCTCTAGTGGTTTATAGGCATTGGCCACTACTAAGGTCAAAAGCGGTGGCCTCTTAATTATGGAGGAACCAAATAGGTAGGCCACCGTTGCCTCCTAAGAAGGGACGGATAAATTACATCCATGCCTTCTCCGGGATTCGAACTCGGTCTCTTCGGAGTTATTAATGACATTTCTGTCTGGGTGACTATTATCTGAAGTAAATAGTAATAATAAAGGCTTACTCTGATTGCTGTCTTTGCTACTGGTAAAGCATTTGGTGAAGATTCAGGAGATGAGGCTTGAGATATTGCCCTGGCTCTTTGTCCATCGCAGACGACACCAGCAGCTTCAGCATGATTGCAGTCATGGACACCCCAGCCATCAAACCTACATCGGTCCAGCCTGAACTCTCTACCCGTACAGAACATATTATCCATCCAGATGAGATCTAAAGAGAGTAAAATAGAAGCAAATTAAAAACGAATAATGAGCTCTTTTAATATTAAAGCATTAGTAAGTTATAAGCAATAGCAATGGTTCTGAAAATGTTTTGTACTCTGGACTAGTAGAAACATTTGATCCCTTTCGTGCCCATTGCAGGTGTATTCGTACATTGGAGGTTAACCCAATGTCTGATTATGACTCGTCATTCAAAGACACATGAAATATTTTGTGTGGCTTTCCATCTTGCAACTTTTAGGTGTGCTGGTTATTACACTTCTAAAGGCTAAGAAGGTTTGAATGCCTATATTAGATTGAGAATACTTATAAGATTTCGATGGCTATACAAGGCTGAGAACACCTGCTTTAAAGCGTTTCTATATCCTCAACAATCTTTATGAAAAATTTCAGTAGTCAAGATTCATAAATTTACTAGTCATAAATACTTCTAGATCCTACCTAAACGTTTTAAAAATTGAGTAATGATATCAACTCAGACCCTTTGAACAATACTTAACACTTTGCGCAAGTTTCTTTGTTATGCCTCATCCGTTAATATTTCCTCTACATTGATGCTTTTTGTATTCGTTTTCATAGTATAAAAATATAAATATTAAATTATCTCCATAAGGTTTCGCTGCAATTTTCTCTACTTCCTTATATCTGTTATATTTATTCTTTATCAACACAAATTTGAATGGATAAATTAAATGTAGAAATGCTGTTAAATTTCACTTTATTTCCAAACAGCGTCCGACTGGATCAAACACTAAATTGCAGCAGATTTCTTCCGATTTTGATTCTCTGCGGAACCTGTTATTTCTATATATCAAGTTTCCTTTCCATCCTTACATTTTACACGTACGTAAATGACTATTCTCCAGCGCTAGGTAGGCCTGACAGCTAAACCACTATATCATTAATGAAAGCCAGATATTCTCCAATCATATTCTTTAAGAGGGGATATAAATGACCTAAAAAAAGGCCTCTCATTTCATATAAAAACAAAGTGAGTATGGGGTATCAAAACATACTAGTAGTAGTAGTAGTATGTAGCTATCAAAACAATATAGGTATCGAAACAAAGTGGCTAATGCTTATAGATTTTAAATTTAGAGATTTTCATTTCTCATAAAAGGGATATATAAAATTTCGCGAAGATTATTCGAAAATATCCGAAGATTTTGTTCTGAAGTTCAATTTTTATTAAACTTAAAAAAAATAATAATGACATAAAGCACGAGGTAAACGTAAAAACATTTAAAATAAGCTATTCATGTTAAACAGTATAAATTCACACATTTTTGAGCAGATTTATTTCAACAAATATCTAATTAGAATTAAATATTTAAAGCCTTCTGCTGCCTAACTCTGAACATGCGTGTCTTGTGTGAAATGTGAAAACACGTAAATATGTCTAAGATTTCAGTTCACGTTTCTTGCATTATTCTTTCACTAAGAATGATGTTATTGAATCGCCAAACTTTTGAACTGTCACTTTGCATTCAAAACAACATGTCAGTGTTGGCCTTAACTGACCCTCGCATTCCCATCTTTCTTTCAAACGAAAGTTGTTGCAAAATTTCAGTAAAAGTACTTTCTCTGTTTTATTTCCATTTAAATAAATCCTTTTAACGTTACAAAATATACGGAACAAGAAAACAAAAAACGTATAAAATAAGGTAACAGGCAAAAGAGGTAAATTCGAGGCAGAAAACCGGAAACTTTCAGTGCATACCATGTCCAAATCCTTCCAGACTTACATAATTCACTCGGATAAGTCACGCGTTGCCGGGTTTTCTTGCACTTCGTCCAATTCATGTTAACAAATCGGCGCAATCATTTTACTTTTTTTTTTTTTTTTTTTTTTTTTTGTGTGTGTGTGTGTGTGTGTGTGTGTGCAGTGGGCTCTTATGGCGCACGACCTTAGGTTACGCTTTGATGAGTATTTTGTTTTGACGCAAGTTTTGACACGAACTTAGTCGGGGGTGATCTCGGCCTAGTTTTTTTTTAGGGTTTGACGAAGATTGAGAAGGTGTGCGAACATCACACTGAAAGCATGGAATGAAACGTGAAATCTGTAAACCATTAAAAATTGCCTGAGCCTTTTTCTTGTAAGAAAAAGAATAGATGAATAAAGAACCACTTTACGCTGTTTTGTAGTATTGTTCAGAAGATTACCCCATGTAACATAACTATCGTTTGCAATTTTAATGCATAGTATTTCTGCACAGCTTGATAGACTATGAATGGAACTAAATACAAAGACATTACAATTGATATACCCTGATTATAAAATGAGGGTAGGAAAAATATGAAAGAAAATCTGGGTTTCGTTCATTTTTGCCACTTAAAATCTCGTAAAAGCCAGAGAAATGTCAAATGAGACGAAAAATTTATGATTAACGAAGTAAAAGTGTTGTTTTCGGTCTTCTTAGGGAAATGCAGGCAAAACGAATTGTAAGGAAAAAAGCGCAAAATCAGGCATTTTTCACGAGATCATCATTTAAGTATTTATTCGCAGGGATGGCCAATTAAAATTAATTGAGAAGCACAAAGTCATAAAGGTTACCATCACACGGCCGAATTCATAATTTGTTTCAGATTTTAGTTATGTATGTTATAAATTTAATGTAATCTTATTCACATATATGTGATTAGAATTATATTATGATTTATAATAATATAATTTACTTTTTAATGGTTTTATAAAAGTTTTGATATAAACTGTAGGGCTTATCAAAATTTCAAAAACTTTCACCAGCCAATTGAATTCTGACGATCTACATTGAATAATATAAGCAGGTTTTAAGAAATACATTGAGAGTCACTGTTTAGCTATTACTAATTCATATTATGTAAGGAAAAAAGTCTTCTTTTATTTTAGTGCTACAGTTTATTACAGTAGATGAGCCTAATATGATAGCGATTCAATTCGGATATTGTTATTGAATTGCAGAAGTGTCGCTCATTTGTATCTGAAAACATGGAACATACATGACATTTTATGATTAACAGGTCGATTAATGTTATCAAAACATTATGGAATGAAATTATTTAAACTGAAGTGATGTCGCTAAATAAGATTGAAATAGCGCATAGAAATTACCAAATGACGAAAACATATCTTCGATTAAAGGATTAAGTCGCCAAGCAGCTTGATTTTGATTTATGCCAGAAAACTTGGAAATAGAACCCTCTGTCCAGGTTTTAGAAAGATCAACTGGCTTGATGACCATACGTTTTCTGGCCAAAATATATCTTAGCTTCTTTTGAGCTTTACATTTTTATAAATGTTTCGTTCAAGGAAACGCTCACTATTTTACTCTGTTCAGTCGTTTTTATTACTAAACCTAGCAAAAAGTATAATGATCTGGGAGTAAGGAATAAAGTCGGCTTGTTGAACCGCTACCAATTCCCAAAAATGAGTCAACAGCAGCCTGCTAAGTTAAATATTTCTCAACCTTTCATATAAATATACCCTTCATAAGTTAAATATTCTCACCCTCAATTTGTAAGTTTATTTTATTTTGTGTTGTGTTGTTGTATTTTTTTTTTTTTTTTTTTTTTTTTTTTTTTTTTTTTTTTTTTTTACTAACCTCTGTAAGCCTTGTGTAATACTATGTGGTGCACAAGGATTTAAAATTTTCAATAAAAATTAAAAAAAAACCCTTCATATACAAGATTTTGAAGAATCCTAAAGATCTTATTTTCAAATCAAAGCAAAATCGAAATGAAAGTATGAAACAGATGCGTAGCTGAAAAGATCTCAGTGTTGCCAAAGCACTTAAGTTTTGACTTGGAGATGCTCATGAAAATTATGTGGAAGTCAGTGGTCCATCAGTGCGGCAGAAAGCTGACAAATTAGCCATAAAATCTCGGAAAGATGATTTTGTAACAACTGATGGTTGGTTTTGCCAAGAGAAGCAAGAAGGATGCCTTATGAATATTAAGATTAGGGGTGCAGCATCGGTCAAATACATGCCTGAAATGTTATGAGTATGAACAGGTAAATGAATTTTTGCATAACAATCACAGATAGTCAATCATTAACGACTTTTTTCTGGTTAAAGTGCTGTAGAAGTAAGAGTTTATATGTTTGTAGTTTTATTTATATGAAATAAGTTAAATTGCATTGATATTTTCTTCATCACTTAATGTTATCATTCGGGGAATGTAATCAAAATAGTCATCTACAAACGTTACTATACAGATAATCTTTTCTCATATTTACCATCTATAAATGTGTTTCACGTAAAATGTTTATTACCTTTCTGTTCACAGTTCGTCCAGCTAAACTTGCCAAATGATTTTGCTTTTTTTTAAAAAATGTTTTCGCTTACATAACTTACATATCATAGGGGGCTCTTAAACATTTGATAAAAGTCATAACTGCAGCACAAACGCTAAACACCGTTACTTTAAACTACGTCATTTCATAACATATTTAATCTAAGAAAAATTTGGTTGCGAGTACTAGCTTTCGCCCATTTTGGCTTGAGTATTGAAATTTTATGTTAACTTTAAATGTCCAGAAATTTAAATTATACAGACTATTAGGTGATTGAAGTAGGAAAAAGGAACAAATAGAATTCTTGACTTATTATTTATGTACATATTATTAATATTTAGCAATTTATTGAATCATAAATGAAGCATGAAAAGCGACATGCACTATGTTAAAGTATTATAAATATCAAGAAAGTTAAGCATGAATACAAAAAAAAATTTAATTAACAAAATATTTATTGAATGGGTATAATCAATACACATTTTGTCATTTTGAACATATAACTAATAAACATTTCGTTATTTTTGTTACGTAAAAGCATGTTTAGAACTTTACATATAAAGCTTTAAAGCCTCACGTATCAAGTCTAACGTATGTGTTCATCTTTATGCATAATTTCATATAATGAAGCTCTTTAAAATAAATAAATACGTAAATCAATAAAAGCTTAGCATATATACTACTAAACTGAAGTACCCGTTCTACACCCGCATGGC